CCCGACTTCGCTACCGTGGCAATCGCATGTTGGGTTTCTCTCACGGCCACAGAATCACCGATGGCCGGACCTTTTCGCCTAGCTCTATCCACGTAGTCAACCTTTTCGTAATCGTCACCTACGAGAATGATCTCCATCGTGTAATCGTCGGACAGGGGTACTTTGGCAGAAGTCTGCGAATCACGAACGTGGTTCTCCTACAATTCTCCAGCCTTCGCAGCCCTAACTGCGGCGACTATGCTTTCTTTCCGTGATCGTCACTGCGATACCTCTCAGGAAACTCTTGGTTGCTTACGTCACCATCATCGTACTCAACCCATTCCCGGAGCACCACGCTCTTTGTCCGCTTTCCTCCTTCGTGGGAAAAGTACAGCTTGGCGTTCGGAGTTGCGGGTGTGCATTCGGTCTCAGCATCGCTATCCACGATGTCCTCCTCACTACAATTGACTCTGCTTCTCTCTCGGAATCTTCCCATAGTGAGCCCGTAGATGTTACTGGCTCTGTCTTCGCCTTCTTCTTCTTTTTCTTCTTGTCAGACCCCGCGTCGCTTTCGTCATCGGAATCCTTCTCTGCCGGCGCTGAGTTCTTCGGATGCGTGAACTTACCGTCCTTCCCTTTCTTGCAAGCGCCCTTCTTCCAGAACGAGCAAATGCCATCCTTCTGGGGGCGTTCCATCACTGGTGAATTACTGCGTTTAGGACCTGCCTCAAGTTTTCTGATGGCTGCATTTGCACTCTGATCCCTTCGTGCGTTTCCCACGCGAAAAATGAAACTGGCATGGCACATTCTTCGTTCCACCAAGGGACTTCCCTCTGGCTTTGAAAGGTGAACTTTTTCAAGGCTTTGCCTTCTTCGGCTTCTTCTTGTCTGGAAGTACCGGTGCCGAACCCTGGGCATCCTTCGCTTCCGACGCAGCCTTCGGTTTAGGCTTTGCTTTTTCCATAGGAGAGGAAGCGGGTTGCCCAATCTGTGATCCTTGAGCGACTTCTCCTTGTTTTCCCAGTTCTTTTCCTCCTTTCCTTGGTGGCTTGCGCCCGTCGTTCAACCATGTTGAGTATGTATTTATGCGTCTTCGCGGGATCACTGCGCTCCATACGCTCGTGCAATTTCAGATCTAGCCTTTTGAGATCCCTTTCAGTTTCCGGTACAGCGTGTCCCTCAGCTCCTCTTCTTGCGGGACAGACTCTGGCTTAACCCCGGCAATGATGTCGAGCCACCGTTGCTTGAAATCTCCCATTTTCTTGTCACCCGGATATGTCAACTTATGCAAGTGTTCCGCACCGAATACAAGATCGAGTCTGTCGCAAGTTCGGAAACTTTCCAGCACCATGAGTATCATTTGTCTTGCGCCGTTTCCATCAGCTTGGCAATCAGCTGCTGGACCTCAAGAGCAACTTCGCTTGCCTGGTCTCGAGCGGATTTGATCATCTTATCCATGCTTTTCACCAACTTGCTATTAACACCAGCGAATCTCGAACCGCCACTGTCGGACAGACTCTCAACACTGGCCCTGGGGCAAATGGATTCTGCGAGTTACGTTGATTAAACCTCGCTATCGCGGTCACCACATCCCGCAAGAACATTCGCTGGCAACTTTCCGTTCCACCTCCTTTCTCGAAATCTTAGCCTCAGTAACCGCAGGCTTGACGGGAGATGTGGAACCTTTGGGCGATCCACTCCTTGATCTCGGTACGATCACCGTCGGTGGTGCGGTCACGCCCCCAAATTTGGGAAGTGCGACCGACTGATCATTGACGAGCTCATCGTATCTCTCGGTCACATCATCAAGTTCCTGCAGTTCATTCCTGCGCTTCCTAAGTCTGTCACACAGCTGTTCTGACTCCTCGTCCCTAGTCTGAGCTATGACTCTCCATGCTTTTCTCATGAAGATTGTCAGTACTCATAGACTCTGAGCCATGCTTTCAATCCAGCTCATGTTCTTCTTCATCCATTCGGCTTGTTCCTCCGCCATTCCAGTAGAGACCGGCATGCCGTGCCTCCCCTTCCTGGCTTCGGATACCTCGCTCCTCAGAGCAGTGGCTGTCGTTTCCTCTCGACTCAATTGGTCTCAACCGAACCACCTCCAGCTTAGCTCTACTCTGGCCAACTTCTCGGCGGGCCGGAACCATTCTTCCCTTGATTCATGCCCGGACAAGTGTTGCATATGATCCCGCAACGTTTGGATCTGTCCATCCTTGTTGGTGACTACGTTGTTGCGGTAGAGTTCCGCACCTCTTACTCTTGCTTCATCGCCTCTCTAAGTTGTTCGTTCACATGACTCAACCTTGTCCGATGTCCGGCACCAGTGTTCATCATGGACTGATATTCGCTGGTGCTTTCGGCCGCTTTGCGTAATGATGCTGAGATCTCACTGCTCTCCGTGCGCAACTGTTGAGTCTCATTGTTGAAATCAAAGGCCGTTGCCTCAATCTCACTTGGCCTACTCGCTTTGACCTTCAGCTGTTCCATCGTCAAGTTACACTCGTCCCTCATTCTCCCATGAACATGCGCAACTTGGGACTCTCGGGTGTGATTCATTCTCTCTAGCCCCAGAATCCTTTGCAACGGACATTCGGCCTTCAATGCATGCTGCTCTGCAGCTTCGCTCATCTGTAACTCCGTTGTTGTCCGTCGGGCTTTCCGTAATTCATCATCGAGTTGTTGATCCGCGTTTCTGGGGTCACTTGGGGAACCCCTTTGGGGAGGATAACTTCTCTCCCTTCCAAAACTTGCGGATTCCACCCATCGCAGTACTCTCGATCGGGAGGAAGCCCTTGCTCCCATGGCCTGATCCGCGCCGGCATCACTCTGCTGGCTTGCTGCCGCAGGCCCAGCACTTACTACGATCGTGTCTCCGCTCCCGTGACCCGCTGATTCCGGTGTTTCTTGTGATGAAATTCCGGCAGCAGGCGCGAATGTAATCGAAGCTCTCCCATCGGACATTGTCACGTAAGCACTGTGCCAATTGGCAATGTTGTGATTGATTCAATATGAAGCTCGGTGCAGGACCTTTCGCTTCGAGTCAATCTTTGTCTCGCAGCACGTGGGACAAACCCTGAGAAACCGAGGGTTATTTTTCGATACCCCTGACAACAGTGGTTGCGTTGCCCTCCAGGTATCCTTAGAATCGCAGACCTCCTGCGAGCTCGATTTGTTTTACATGTCAGCTTCACAATGACGATTGTGAGACGAATCTTGAGCCAGATGGCAGCGCATGTGTGTAACCCTTGTTAATAGCACCTGTGGTCCACACACTATTCACACAAACACACAGACAAACACACCAGCAGACAGACTCACACAGGCGCACACACACACCAGCTGCCACATACGCCAGGCACACACAGCCACACACGCAACACAAACACACAGACACGCAAACAGACAGGCAGAGAGACAGGCAGACAGAGAGGGAGAGAGGCGCGCAGGCAGAGCGGATCGATCGATCGATAGACAGACAGACAGACAGAAAGAAAACATGGAAAGAAATACAGACACACACGCAGACAGACACTCTCACACACACAAACACGTTCGCAGACGCACAGACAGAGACAAACACACACAGACACAGACACACCGACAAAGACACAAGAAAGACAGACACTCACCAACACACTCAGAGACAGACACAGAGACACGCCGCAGACACAAACACAAGGCAAATCACGCAAAGGCAGACACAAACAGACAAACACACAGATACACACAGACACACACACACATGCATACGCACGCGCCAGGCACACGTGCAACACAAACACGCAGACAGACACACAGACAGACAGACGAATGGAAGACAGACACGAACGGGCAAACACACCGACACACAGGCAGACAGACAAACAGAGAGACAGACGGACGGACAAACAGACAGACAGACACACAGGCAGACAGACAGACACACAGAAACATACACAGACACGGCAGAGGCACAAACACAAAGAGACACACGCAAAAACATACACGCAGGCAATCACTCAGATACAGACCCAGCCACAGACATGCAAACGCGCGAGCACACGCGCAGCCACAAACACAAACACGCAGGCAGGCAGACACACACACACACACACACAAACACGCAGAACATGCAGGCGCACGCACTCGTCTCTGTGTGTCTGTGTGTGTGTGTCTGTGTGTGTGCGCCTGTCTGTCCGTGTGTCTGTGTGCGTGTGCTATTGTCTGTCTGTGTGTGTCCGTCCTTCTTCCAGAATGTTTGCACGTGTGTCTCTGCATGTGTCTGCGTGCGTGCTTCTGGCGCGTCTGTGTGTGTTCGACACATGTGTGTGCGTGTGTCTGTGTTTGCGGGCCTGTGTGGGTGTGTCTGCGCCTCTGTCTGCGTCTCTTCGTGTGTCTGCGCGTGCGCCTGCGTTTGTCTGTGCGCGTTTCTCTCCACACTGTGTTTGTGCGTGCCTGCGCGCGCAGGCTCGTGTCTCTGTGTGTCTGCGGGTGTGTCTGCGAGTGTGTCTTCGTCCGCGTCTGCGTGTGTGTGCGTGTCTGTGTCTGTGTCCGTCTGTCTGTGTTTGTGTCTTTGTGTGCCTGGGTGTGCGTGTGTGACAGAGAAAGAGTTAATTTTTGGGTATGTCTGTGTGTGTGTCTGTGTTTTTCTGAGCTGTGTCTGTAACACTGTCTGTCTGTGTGCGCGTCTGCGCGCGTGTGCTTCTGTGTCTGTCTGTCTGCGTGTGTCTGTGGGTCACTTTGTGTCTGCGCGTACGCGTGTGTGGCTGCACATGTGTCTGCTGAAGCACGTTGCGTCACGCTTTCAGGGTGGAGAGCGCAAGTGGTCTTTTTGAGGAATTGTCGCGGCACACACCATTCTTTTGGCACACGCGCGCAGGTCAGGACAGGCGCGCAGGGCTGTGCGGTTGCAACTGGGAATCTGGAAAGCGCATCAACGCTGCTGTGTAAGAGTGCGAAACACTAACAGCCATTGTTGGTTTCTTCGCAAGGGCCAGGCCAGCGTGACAGCGCTGAATGTCTGACTGCGACCAGGGCACGATTCAGGAGCAAGTCCTGCTTGCCCTCCACCTGAGTTGCGACGTTACAACTGCTGCGGCACTCTTTCTCGCGTGTGATCAATTGGAGCCCGTTCCCTTTCTCCCCAAAAAACTCAAGCTGCCGATGGCGAGAGCTCTAAGCTGAACGCTCCTCGTGCGCAAACTAAAGACAGCGCGCGCGTGACTACTAGAGATACCCAGTAGTCTGTACATCCCTTATTGGGACATCATTTGGCCCTCTTGCAATGGGCCTTCACGAGACCGCAATTGTTGCTCCCTCCTTAGCGATCGAGCATCCCCGGCTTGGGACTCAATTGTGGTTGCGGAGCAAATGTTTCAGAAGATCCAAGTCAAGATGTCCTCAGAAAGGGGGAGGCCTATTCCAGCGCAGGCCAAACAGTCGGCATCACTGAAGGGACCCTCAGTTCATCGACAACCGCCAAACAACCGCCATCGTGCGACGGAAAAGTTAGATGGCTCAGGTGTGAGGAACTTCTGATTGGACGACATTCACCAGGATTGAAGCATCCAAGAGAAGACCTCGACTGAAAAGCAGGCTCGTGGGAGATGCCTGCACGTACAAGGGAAGTCCTTGACAACGAGTCGCTTCAAGAAGCCAATTACACGCTGAAGAAATACTTCCTGGGGGAACAAGTTCCTCTTCCACCACCGCCGACAGAACTCGGAGTTCCTCGCACGCACATCCAACTGTGATATCCGTCTCACAGATAGAAAGACTGATCAGCGCAATGTCTTTGAGGAACATCTCACTCGATCACTAGATGCTGAAGACACAGTACCATGATCTCCTCATCACGACCAGAACACAAATCCAAGATCCATCCATCCGACCTCCAGGCGGCATGAAGGACCTGAAGCCCTCATGGCAACGGAAGATGACTAGACATTCTGGGTTCTCGAGGAGCACAACACGTTCATGGCCAGAAAAATGCCTGGGCGGGATTTAGGATTTTGTAAAAGAAAATTCAAAGGAAAATCAAGAAGCAAAAAGGGCAGTCACCGACGAGGTGGCTTCAAACCCTTTCGCAAGAGCGCGTCCGGCGGGAAATATATGGCCAACGAAGACTATGATCCCTACGACCAGGCGTATTGGGGAAAGGCAAAGGCGTACTTTTTTGCAGTGTCAGTCAGATGAGAAAACCTCTAAATTCGCATCGAACATAATAGTCAATATCACAAGACCACATGTCAAGCTTTGGGCATGGACCGTCCAGACAGAGGTTCCAGTATCCGGAACAGGACACGCTCTCGTCGATCTTGCTGGTGTTGCAAAACTGAAACTCCACGGAAAAGTTGCTGACAAGGGCCTCAACAACTATGTCTATGACGCCGATGACATCAAAGTATGAAGTTGTTGGCACATCCACGTCATCCGGGACAAATGAGGACACAGCAACCCCGAAGATAATCGGATCCCAGAAGCAAGATCATTGAACACGCCTTGGAAGGCATTGTTCACACCATCAGGAGCTAAGATCCTGCGAGCATCAGCCGAGAACGTGCCACTCAGACATCCAGAGGCGGAGAACCAGACATCCTTGGAGACAACACCCCAAGCAAATAAACCCTCTTCACCTTTTCCGACACTTCGCTCAAGGACGAAGCAGCAGGTTCAGGATCATGCCGCAGATGCGGTCATCGACAAGAAAGGCCGGGCGACCATTGAGCCAGATCCTCTTGCGCCACCCTCAGATAAACCAATGTCGCTTCCGCTTGCCTTAGGCAGAATCCGTCAGCGATTGTCCAAGCTAGACAAGTTGAAGAAGCTCCATCTCCAGCACGATCACATGAATTACCAAAGTCGACATACGATCTTTTTGATAAGATTCGTAGTGAGTGCGAAGTTTGCCAAGCAGTAACCACAAACGCCATCCAGGAGCCAAACAAGTCGCTTCGAGCGGACACATTCGGAGACATGACATTCATTGATCACTGTGAGGCTCGGAGCCGGAGAACACATCACTGGTTTTGTCACCCTGGATGGAGCAATAACATTGCTCGCTGCAGAGGCACTGTCCTCAAGAACCACTGTCCTCAGGAACTACTTTGACCAGTACCACTTGCAGCCCAGATCAGTTGTCGCAGATCAAGCTTCATGAATGAGACGTGGGAGCACTTCTAACAATCCCTCGGCATCAACCCGATCTCGCTGGGACCAAATACGGCCAAACCGAGGTGAAGCAGCAGTACATCTGTTGAAGGCACAACTCAAGATCTAGGCAGGAACGTCACCCCTCTCTGAAGAAGGTCACGCACAGACAACTTGCCAAGGCCGCTGCAACTGTCAGGAATCGGAGTGTCATCATCTACGCGGGCGCAACACCATTGGAACTCGCATTCGGAAGACGACCAGCAGATCTCATCCAGCTGGATGTCGCAACACCTACGCAATTGACGATAGACAGGAGTGAGGCAGAGCTGACAGCAAACCAGATCAAGCAGCTGTCCAAGCAAGCATTCCAAGAAGAGAAGGCATCCAGAGAGACCTTGCTGAATCGCCGAATAAACTCCAAGCCTCTTCAGGTGAAGGGCCAGGAATTCTAGGTATTCTACTGGCAGGAAGACACACGCAAGATTTGTTCTGATGGAAGAAACTGAGCTCTGTGGCTACCCACCCCCTTTAAAAAAACCGGCCAGCAAAACATTTTTTATTATTAGGGGCCCCCTGGATCTGGAGGTAAGGTTTTGAAGGTGCCTCTTGTTCGCAAGCTTATCTGCAACTGCGGTCCCCCTGTTTCCGGTCTGGAAAATCGAATCAAACGTACATGTCCGAGTAAGGAATTTAAGTAGCGGGAGTTGAGGTCACGTTGTCTTGTTTTTGGTTGCTGGTTGTGACCACCAGCTACGCGTGGGTGTGTGCGTGTGGGTGCGCTTACTAGTGTAGACCCTAATAATAAAAGACAATAATAAAATTGTTTGCGGATGTGCCCTTTGATTTTGGGTAGCTTTTGGCTTGAGGCGCCCTTTGACTTTGACCACCAGACTTTGTATTCAGTTGGCACAGCCTGCCGGTAGAAAAGGAAACGTACTTCCATCACCCCCAAGTCGGGTGAGCCCGCTTGAGCACAAAATTGACTGTTTTTGCCGTTTGCCTGCAAGATGTCTGCGCAGCTTGTCGTGAGGCGGCAGCGATGGCGGATCTACTGGGCTGTCTGGTGAAACACTTGGCGGTTGATCCGGGGGTTGATCCGGAATGTAGGTGGTTTATGAGGAGTGTTGGCCCGCCGGACTTGGTCTGGCGGTTGAGCGGTTGCTGATGATGACGCTGGCACTGTGTAAAGGATTTGTTAAAACGACTTGCTTCTTGTGCATTGCTGATGCTCTCGAAAACTCAGGTGACACGTCGAACAATCAGGATAGCCAGTGTGTTTTGGAGTTCCTTCTCCGGTACGAGCAGGTGGAATGACGTCACGCAGCCGTAGCCTGTCATCGTTGTGGCTTTGCGCGCCGGCCGTTGCCCTTTTTGGCTTGAGTCTCTGTTGGCCAGGTTTACGAACGCTCGAGCAGACGCAACAGGTTTTCCGCTTCCTCTTGCAAGGGTGCATGGGCGTGATACCGGCAAACATGTCCAGGGAAACAGGGCACTTTCTACATCGATGTGACCACCGGCCCTGACTCAACCCAGCTGACTCAGTCAGCGAGCGCAGCCTTCTTCGATGCTTGACGTGGCGGGATTCAAAGCCAGGTGGGGCTTGGAGCCAGGTGAGGCTGTGAGAGCCTTTTCGTTTTCTCGAATATCGGAGGCTGAAGAAGTTATGGGCTTTTTAGAGAATTGCAAACCAGTTTGGGCCCAGTTTGGGCATCATTTGCCTCATTGTTGAAGACTTCTAAGGATGCAAAACTTGATGGGTTTGAGCCAAAGTGAGGAGCGCTGTCTTTTTTCCACTTCCGGCGCCGGCGCTGAATGCTGAGAAGCTTGCCCGGAGCGTAGCGCGCCGCTGCTGGAAAGTGTCCCGGGACAAAGCCGCCTTCGCCCTCTTCAGCGGCCGCTCTCATGGCCAGGCCCTGGCTCGTTGAAATCGATGTTCGCCTGGTTGCCACTCCCGTCCATCAAAGGCTTGGCTCGACCCAACAAAACTGTCAGAAGCCCCGTAATGCCCTCAAAGTTCATGTGGCCCACACTCGTTCTGGTTCCCGCGACGGGTGCGCTAGACGAAGGAAAGGGGCCGCGCCCTGCGGACGCGCAGGCTCCTTTTTCTCGGGCTCCACTTTCGTAACACGATCTTCGTGACGGATGCCCCGTAACATGAAATCGAGCAGCGAAGGCAAGGCTGGGCTCGCTGACTGAGTCAGCTGGGTTAAGTCAAGGCCGGTGGTCACATCGATGTAGACTGCGCTCTGTTACAGTTTGCCCTGTACATGTTTGCAACGGTATCACGCTCGTGCACCCTTGCAAGAGGAAGCGGAATTGCGCCTGCTCGCGCATTCGTAAACCTGGCCAACAGAGACTCAAGCCAAAAACGGCAAAACTCCAAAACATACTGTCTATCTTGATTGTTCGGCTTGTCGCCTGAGATTTCGAGATCATCAGCAATGAGCAAAAAGCATGTGGATTTTAAGAGTCCTCAATCAAAGAGCCAATGAGGTTGCTGTCGTTCATCAGGAAGATCTGGTGGACCTGTCTCGATGGGCATCGGTGCGATGGCCGGTCTGAGAATGGACTGTGAACGGACGAATACATGATCGCATGCCAAGTTCTTGGACTAAGCCTATTTATTTGTATTTGGATGCAGGCATGTCCCAAATTCTGTTCTTCTGACCCAGGTTGCCAAAGAGCTATGTGTGCATCGTCCGGAGGTGATGTGAGCGGCATGTTGGCGCCTACTGCGCGGACGTATGCTGCGCATTGGTCCTACTGAGTGTATGACACGCACAAGGTTCTCAGCCTCCTGCAACCGTGCCACATGTTGTAGCTTCGCCAGTCATTTGGATCTTGTCGGAAAAGGTCAGTCTCAGTACCTGGCAAGTACTGCTTCATTGTCTTCTGTGGCTTCTGGACTAGCGGGTCCT